TATTTATTAAGAGATTTAGAAATGGCCATTCTAGAGTCCCATTTCTTGTCGGAATACATAAAATTAATATACCTTTTTTAATTTCCGTGTTGTATGGTCGACATTTGCCAGAACTTCTAACAGATGCTCCGTGATTTTTTACATATATATGTGGAGTGGGCTCTGGATTGAGGGCTCTAGATTGACCTCTAAGGCAAAAAAGGACGAACGTGTTCCCCGTCCAGATCGGTGAGCGCCCAGTGTATGTAGAAATACATCATCGAAGTTTTGCATGGAGATATGCGATCGTACATCCTTTTGCTTTATTGCCAGAGTTGGCTCATGCCTGCGTGATCTTAGTCGTTTGTCGATCGTCGATGCACTGAAAAATCTCGGACGTGTCCTCAGGCGGTATCCGCACTTTGGGCTGCATGAGCAAGCGCCGGATGATGACTTCTGGCCTATGACCAAGGTCTCGTTGAGGCGTCTTAACAGTGGCCTCAGGGACGTCACCGACGTATGGCAGGGCATTGATGATCTCTGATTTTTGCTTATGTTCCCGTAGGTCTTAGTCTTCCTCCGATGCAAGCATTAGTTCTTGAAGTTCTGTGGATATTCACTAGGGAGGAAGACTTTCTGTATGGTCTAACGCTCTTCCAGCTATTCGGCCTGTGTGATGCAGTGTGCGTTGATGCGTAGAAAAAGTATCGGAGCACAGCTGTGACAAGGGGTGGTTACTTTTATAATGAAGAGTTTCTCCGTGCTAGCAACTCTTCGAAAGACACTGGTATATGGGGCTCTCTCCCTGCCCCAACACTTGCACATGAAGGAAAGCCATTTGGACTTCCTCTTCTTCCTCCAATGTAAATGGAATTTCGGAGAAAGAGCATTTTAATTTACTTTTAAAGGCTCTTATATATTACTGATCATCTCCCGAACGAGAGGATTAAGTAGAGAGTGTCAGCTCAAGGACAATATTTTATTCCTATAGTTCGGTTGACTGTACCGATTGAGGACCAACTTTCCAGTAACAGTTTGGTCCTCTTCCTATTAACAATGTTAGAGATGGTGCCCACCTATCGCTATATAGGACATGTGTGTTCGGTTGCGCCTTGGGTCTCAATCTCGAGCACGGTCCTACATCACCTAACGGCTAAGTTTATAGGCAGAATGGCCTTCTCAACGAAAACAAGATATGGCCATTTCTGGCGTATTAGTCATCATCAGTTAGCTATACCCAACTCCCAGTATTGCGACCTTTGAGACTCGAACACCTGACATGTTGGTTCAATGTCAACAAACCGAACCACCGAGTCACGGGCCCGTTGTCCTGCCATGTACTTGTAAGTGCCTGTGGATAGTTGATCCAAAAAGATGCACACATTGTCGGATTGTTTTAGTGCTCGAATAATGGAATTTTCTGCAGCAGACACTTCCCACGCAAAGTCGGCAACTGCACTGCCCTTATTTGGGCTTATATAGAATCAGTGTCGATATTCTAAGCGTCCAAACGTCTTTTTTGAAAAAGTGCTTTCTTATCCGTTTATAGTTGGGAATAATTGGTCGAACCGGCGCCGGAAAGAGCTCTCTTGTGTCCCTCCTCTATCGATTGGTGGAAGTGCAATGTGGGCGGATACTGGTTGATCAGGTGAACACTGCTCAGGTGCATCTGGCCGATCTGCGCAGGCGGATTTCCATCATTCCCCAGGTGAGCACCGCAGATTGTACTCCCTATTCACGGTTTTATATAACTTCTTTGTGAGTTAGATCTAAAAGTGTGTCTATCCTATTTGATTAGTTAAAAGGTATTAAGCCTTTTCAGGATCCACTATTATTCGCGGGTACCGTACGCAGCAATCTTGATCCAGAAGACCGTTTTACTGATGACGCCCTCTGGCACGCTTTGGAGACGGTAAATAATATTTATTGCAACCATTACACGTCATTTTTAATCACTTGGTGTCTTCTGCTGTTTTGTGTGCATTTCCAGTAGTATCTACCGTTAAACTGCATTTTAAGCGTTAGCGGCCGCAAATTTCTATTTACTTCTGTCTCCTTTGCAACGAATCACATTTTGCGGATACAATTGATGACATTCCACAACAGGTTGATTTTACTAAAAAAATTTTGATCAGTAATTCAAAGTAAGTTCATAATCCTATTTTAAAGGCTGTAGCCTAATTACGTACGGATGTCCTTTGCAGCGTAATTTTTTATGAGCGGTCAATATATGTAGCGCTGAACATAAGGGAGCAACTATGAGGCCTACAAGCCAACTATTTTCGTGTATTCTTTGCAATTTAGTTTGTTTTGGATGGAGCAAATGGGACCACGTGGGTGGCTGGTAGTTTTTAAACAGGACATTTCACCTGTTACTACTGTGACAGCTGTTGTGCTGGTAGACGCCTCTTGTGCATTCTATCACTGATCTCCTGCATTGTCCTGTTAGGTGCAACTGAAGTCGGTTGTGGAGGCTATGCCAAAGGGGTTGCGTAGCCGTCTAGCTGAAGGTGGCTCCAATTTGAGCTTCGGCCAACGCCAACTCTTCTCCCTCGCCCGAGCTATTCTCAGGGACAACAAAATTCTTGTCATCGATGAAGCCACAGCAAATGTCGATCTTGAGTAAGTGTCTCCCATCGCACATGCCTTTAATTCCTGTCATCTATTTTGAGGGCTTTTGCGTATTCAAGCTAATGTGT